AAAGTATCTTAGTTGGTAGTACCGCCACCTGTGGCGCGCATAGTCAATTCCCTTGCGTTTGACGTTTCCACACTACCGCCATCTGTTCAGCGTACTACCCACCACAGTGTACTCAACAGATGGCGGTAATGTTTTAACGACGATGTTTTACAGTGAGAAATATTCAATGTGTTATGTCTGTTTGTCTGTGATTCTACGTTCTACTTCTTTACCAGAAACAGCAAATCTCCTGCGTTCGAAATAAAAAAGTTAGCATTGCTGCCATCTTTGCGGCAAAAATTTGTTAGGATTTCAGGCTTAATCACGTGACGGGCATACCTTTAGTTTCCCTCTAAACTACACGCAAAACAAGAATTTATTATAACGAATGTTAGTTCCATTTCCTATCATCCTTTGTTCATGAACATCACAGCGAATGTTAGAAGTTGACCTTGCAGACTATGTAATGGTTTTTTGACTTTTCTTTTTCGTGTTCAATCTACGCTTCTGACTATACTACACCGTTCAAAAAATTCATGTTAATTTCTGCGAGATATAGCGCACATAAAATTAACGCTAGATTTGGCAAAAATTTACACGATATTTCGTGTAAATTTAAGCGCAATATCGCATTAATTAGCAATATTGTATGCAAGCTTGTAAATGATTATGCCAAGTATAGTTCAAAATTAAACGAAGGGAGATTTTACGCAACAGTTAAAATTCAGAATTTTTTTTTCTGTGTAGTAAGCTTTTTATGTATAACATTGTAGATCCACGCACACACTTGCTTCGAATCTCTCCAGCAGAAAAAGCATACGAAGTCTTCTTCTTCTTCTTCTTCTTTATTCCTTTATTTAACGGAAATGAGCGCTTCTTGTTTGCTTTACGGATATCCATATTCAGAAGCATGGAGAGAGCAGGAGAGAAAGCACAAGTCTAATAATCGGAGCTATTTGACAGCTCCAGTGTAATGTCAATTCAACCTGGTCTATAGACCTTTTTGACGTTTAATCATCTTTCTCTATCTAGCACACATGGATGAATGGACGGTTTGTTTTCCCACTAATCTGTTTCCCTCTTGCTCGCACTCGTTCGTTTTAAATGGTACAGTAGTGTGCGCCGATTAAACGTCAAAAAGCTCTATACAAGGCGTGGAATTAATTATATGATTTGAGTAGTAGCTATACTGAAGATCCAAGAGATGTCGCCCCTTCAGTGGTAGGAAAATCATTTTTGCAGTATGGAGAATATCAGAAAATCCATGATTTGTGACTAAACATGCTTTGACAAAAGGAAACAAATAAACGAGTGTTTACCTTATCACCATAGTAATGTACTCGTGCAATTTTTGTGCATCTAAAACTACCCATAAAGACGATAATGAATAAAAACTGAAAATTTTCATGCATTTCCAAGTGGTTTCCTACCATTCCCATACATTTGAAAGTGACTGGCCCTCTGGATGTGGACGATATCAAAAACAACAAAACATGATTAATTGATGGCCTGTACGTATTGGTGCAGTTCGTTTTTCACTCGGCTTTCAGTCGGCTTCTCAGGGTGGCCAGATAATTTTTTTCATTATCGGTAGCTTCTCAAAACTTTTATCGGTAGTTATCGGTAGGCCGTCTCAAGAAGGCTTTTCCGAAACTTGAAACATTTATGAGCGGGGGGGGGGGGGACTCTGCTTCAGAACAATACACTGTCCTTCAGTTCTTCTGCTTTAAACCTAAGAGGAAGAAGGGATTATTACTGTTTTATCTCTATCTCTATTTCTATCTATATCTATCTCTATCTCTATCTTACGTACTTCAAATCGGCCAATCACGAGGTGGGTCGCGTTTGACAGAAAAGTGGTTCGTTTTTGCCCCCGTATTGTCTCCTCTTCTCTTTGCTTTTAAACGTGTCGAAATCAATATTTCTAATTCTGACTACACGGAAAACAAAACAAAGGTATTGAACATTTTTCAAGATTACTAAAAATCTATGATTCTCGGTTGGAAAAGTGAAAAATCGGTAGTTTTTAACCTTTCGTCTGTGAATCGGTAGGCATCCCGAAAATCGGTAGGACTACCGATAAATCGGTAGGTCTGGCCACCCTGTAGCTTCTCACGATTTGCTTCTTTCGTACGCTCAAACACGCTCGTAGTTACGTCATAACGTTTGTTTCAATCAGCGTTTACATTGGAAATTGAATATGAATTATAGAATTTCTGTATGAAGGCAAAATTTTAAGAATGTTTTTCCACTGAACGTTGAGATAATGTATTGATTATTTTATTAGCACACTGTATACCATGAAAAAGCAACCTGCTGGTTAGTTTTGCCCGTTTCCAAGTAAGGAGTTACTATAAAAATACAAAAGGCTTGCTGATATTTCCCGGATACTTTACAAAAGCATACAAACAAGCGCAATCATCATGCAAACATATCTAGAATTTGCTGTATTTCATAGTTCACAAATTTGCTTTCGACTGCTATGACGTCGTGGTCATCCTCTCCCTCAATGTTTACCTTTTTCCCTCTACCAACACATACGTGAGGGCTAGATCTCCACACCTTTTATAGACCAGGTTGATGTCAATGTACCCCGAAAATTCTATGATACTCTGGTTCTGTCAAATCGAATAATGGTGGAGTAAATTAACAATTAATTAGTCTTATTTTATGATTATCTCTGTTTTTCTCGTTTTCGAGTTTTTGTTTTGTTTTTTTTTTTTTAATTTTTTATAAAAACATTGATATGTTTTCTAATAGTCTTCCAATTGAAGATACGGGATCGGAAAAAGTCTGTCTGAATATGTGTATGTGAGAGCGCGTAACACAATTTTCTGAAACGTATTTCTCGGCATCATCTCTATCGAATTGGACGCAACAACCACCAAATGAAGGATACCATGATTTTATGGAATGTAAATTACTAGATTTTCAATCTAATAACCAGTTTCTGAGTATTGATGGAACAATACCCGAAAATTGCCGAATTCTGGAATTAAGTGGTGCTTGTCGGCAACCACATAACCGAATTAAACGAAACATCCAGCAAATAAAAGGTATTATGATCACATTGAATGCTGTTAAACAAATTAAGAATCGGTCAACTATGTCCGGTCACATGGGTGGGACAAGTCCCAACAACATGGATTTTGGGACCTAAGTCATACTTCACATTAATAACTAATGAGAATTGGACGTAACAACCATCAAAAGAAAAGTATCATGATCCCATTCCCTTGCTCATAGAACATTATTGAACAGATTCAGACTCGGTCAGCTGGTGCTGAAAAGGTGAGCCATGATACTAAATTTGACCGGTAAGGAATAAAACCTATCATGTGACAAAACAAATTACTTCAAAATATCATAATCACATCAATTGTGTCCATTTCGAGCGTCGCGGATCACATTGGCATGTCTCAGATGCCACCGGGGAATTAATCAGGCCAGACTTGAATTAAAACCCATCATGCCAAATAATGAATTTTGATTTCATAAAATCGATTAAATTCCAAGATATAAGGAATATAATGCAACATAAGTAATACGTCTCACTCAAAATTTGTTCTTGGCTTACTTTCAACGTCCACATGAACCGAAAAAACAACATGTTTTCTGATGTGAAAAAAGTTGTGCCACCAACGATGGCTGACCCCATCTACAATTTGTAAGTGGGTACGTTTAACTAAGGCTTTCTGTCTAGATACTCGGGGGGTGAATAATCGCAACATTCGTGATTCGAGTCCCTCAGTCCGGTAACCCCTTTTTTCGACATGATTCATTTCACTCACTAATACACCCAACATTTTTCTTTTTCCATTTTTTTGCATTGGACCGCAGCTAGGTATATCGCATCCTCGGTTCCAAGCGGGCTCCACTAACATCCTCTGATGATGAATACACCGACAAACCGACATGAATGACCATAGCAAAACCACCAAAGCACACTACTGACATCTGGCTCCGTGTTCGTGGGAAATATTTAGCTAAACCATGAAACGGTTGCAAAAGTTATGAATTGGTTCGTGTCTGATCTATTCTGGAGAAATTATTTTTATCTAGATGAAAATATCATATGGTTTTGACAGTTCGGATCACTGCACATTTAAATAGGCCGTTAACGATTTGCGGACATAAGTCAGAATTAAGTGTCATGTCGGTTTGTCGGTGATGAATCCATAATTGTAAGCGAATCTTACATCCCCCGGTTGAGTGTAGGAAACCCTAAAGGCTGAAGCGTAATGACATCGGCCAGAAAAAACCCAACATTGCGTTTGGGCCTTAAACCAACCAGTATTTTTCATATAACTTTCTTAAACCAACCAGGAATTCATATACCTTTTTGAAGACAAATAAAACCAAAGGCTACTTATACACCTTTGTAATAGGCCAGCAATTTATTCTTATAACTAAAATGGTTTTCACTTTCGTGATTTAACAAAGATTATCAATTCGTGATTACAAACCAGTTTGATAATAATTTATGCGATAATTAATCGCATTCCGTGGTTAAATAGCTTATCGAAAAATGTACACCAAAGAGGACGACGGGATCGTTGCATTTTACAAGTTCGATAAAAATCCATTGCTAACGGATTGAATTCAACATTAGACAATATCGGATTTACTTAAGCCTGGCTATTATTGCAATCAATGATGAGGATTAAAATTATCTGCTTGCATTTAATCAATAATCGTTTAAACCAAATAGTTCAACGATAACCATAAAACGGAGGTATGTTTAGTTAAAGTTTGATACATCAATAATTATTGATTGGAAGAAAGCATTCCTACAGCGTTGTTAGCAGATACTCTAAGATATTTATGATGACAGCGGTCACATTATTTACTTTAAAATGCGATGAGAAAATCAGTTATTATCACACAGGTGGTAAATTTAAGCTGACCTGTTGGAGAGATACTTTATCAATATACATCAGACATTTTTAGCATACATGTAAAATTACTATCCTCGAACAAATTTCGTACAAATTTCAGTAAATTTCATAAGCTATACTAACCTTTCCACTATTCTGCTTGATTCATTCAGGTTTGTTGTATTCTAATTTGTGATTAGACCTGCAAAAAAAGAAAAAAAGGACATATGATGATTTATGGCTTTTTAAAGCTTACAAACGACATTTAATTGAGCATGCGAAAACTCTATCGATACACATTTTAATAGGTTCTATCTACATTAATTGATTCTCTTCATCGACTCAGCTGCAAAAACATTCCCTGTCGTATTTGATTTTGCTATTTAAATTCCGTGAAATTAGTTATTTGTACACCCGAGAAAATTGATGAAGAGGAGCTATTGAAATCTAGTTGCTGCTCTATGAATTATCAAACATAACTCTTGCAAGTCGTTTCCGCAGAACTTCCGTGCTCGTGCTGCTGCGGACAGACACCACAGATCACCACGAGCTGCCTCAAGCGACAATCCCCATCCGTGTTGGGATTCGCTCTTCGATGTCCCGTCGTTCCTGTCAACCGTAGTCAACTTCTGAAACCCCCTTTTCCCCTAAAATACTACGTCATTTATTCATGTTCCCTAAGTGATTATTGAGAAATTGGGCAATAGTGCAAATCAGTGCTATGTCTCAACATTTGTGTTCCTAATTTAATATTCAGATAGGGCCTCCTCAGAATGCTTCAAAAAATCACACAAATAAACGGAAACTTATGCACCTATTTTATGTGACTAGAACATTTTAGCTTGAAATCGCTCCAATCAATTTCCGGTGCATCGATTAAGTTATTTTTTTTTAATTAAATATTGCTTTTTTTAGTGGTGGGAAAAAAGAACCAAGCACTGAATTTATCAGACGGTACTTATATTTATGCTTTTAGATTAGCTATGTAAGTCCATCCTACTTGGAAAATCATGCTATAGAACGGTATATAAATACACAGATTTTTTGCTGATGGGGGCGAGGCATAGCAAGCCGTTCCATTGCATAATTCTCCAAGTAGGAGGGACTTACAATACTAATCTCTAATACTAAATAGAGGTACCGTCGAGTTTTTTCAGTATTAGGTACTGAAATTTGTTATCTGTGATAGATATGGAAGTTACTTTTATCCCACCACTGAAACACCTCGTGTTCTTACGCCAAATGATGAATGTGCGTCCACAAAACGCAATTGAAATCTTTAAAAAACAGCAATAATTTTTTTTGGCTCATTCAAAAATGTACCGAGAACTTATTGGAGGGATTTATTACTATCCGAGATATTCCCGATCAACTAGGAAATTTAGCATACAATTGGTGCAAAATTGTGCACCCCGTTTTTGTGTATGCATTTTAACAGCGTTCTGAAGGTGAATCGCTGTGGAAACTTTATTATTTTTTTGTAACATACAACAATGAAACTGTAGCTTCATGTTTGCTGTAGTGCAGTAAACAAGGAGTTCCAATTTCATGTTTGCTGTAGTGCAGTAAACAAGGAGTTCCAATTTCATGATTGATGTCGCAACAGCGTCTAACATTTGTGCTTTACAAATCTTGAGGTGATAGGGCATATCGGCCATTATTTGACGCTTCAAGGAATCACCTGAAGAAAGCCCTACCTTCATATCTGATTGAAATTTAGAAACCAAATGTAATAGGATATGTATTCCCATTTTTATGAGGCCTAAATTTAACCAAGTTTTACTAAGTAGGAAATCCAAAGTATGTACATAGGACCGAAATCATAGGTCACTTCTTCGGTATTCAAAATCAATATCTAGAGAATGCACGAGAATTTCACTAAACAGCACAACCATACGGTCATGTCTTATACACAATCCCACCAATTTTTTTTAAAAGTTTGATAACTGACTTATGAATTTCATTGCTTTGACTTATGAATTGTTTTTCATAGGGCAAACTATTGGTTTTCATTATAAATCCTTGTGACAAAAAAATCATACATGGTTCTTATAGATTTCTTGAGTTTATTTGCCTCAGTGTAGTCAATTCCCTTGCGTTTGACGGTTAAATACTACCGCCATCTGTTTAGCGTACTGTCCATGACAGTGTACGCAACAGATGGCGGTAGTGTTTTAGCGACGATATGTTACATTAAAATGTTCAATGTGTTTTGTCTGATTGTCTGTGATAAAAGTATATCAATCTAGATTATATTTGCTTTCCCGTTACGGCCCGTGAATTGAATACACGAACTATAAATTGCATCCCTAGTGGAAACGTGTTGTCACAGCCCCAATTATATTGGCAAAAATTTCCTATCCATTGAAGCAAATGTTTGAACTTCCTAGCAAACATCCACCAGGCACACAACTATTCATTCATTACAATAACTGTGCCTGGCTTCATTTCACTACGAGCAAAATTCCGAAGTAGCAGCTTTGTTTTAATCCATGCAGAAATCCGAATCATCTTCATGCAAACACAAGTGCTGCTGGCAGCCAGACTGCGGGTAAAGTTTTTCCTGGTTGCTATGATTGATACAGATCTCTGCCATCAAAGCAAGTGAGAAGCGGGACCACCACCCACAAATCACAATCAAGTTAGCTCTGATGCTTTCGGAACAATGGACGATAGCTAGAATCGAAATGAAAGAAGGCAAACGTCATATTTATTGATTCATTTCCTATTTCAGCTTCAATTTGAAAACGGTTCCGCGTGTTATCATGGTATGTCTCTTAACATTAGCGTCTCCTGTTCGAGTGTGATAGCGCGGGAGGGCTACAGCAAAAAAAAAACTCTCAAAAGTCATTAGCCGTAATGGCAGCCGGTCCCGGTTCGCATTTGACTCTCGTTATTCCTGCCTGAGCACACCACCATTCAGTCCGCAATCAACGTGGCACATTATATTGAAATTGAAGTACACAACCAGGGGCATTTCTGTCGCATTTTGGCTGGCTTTCGCAATACTACATTCGTAGATGATTTGAAAGTCAATTTAGCGCTAAATTTCCTAGTTGATTGCTGTCACTTTTTTCTTTACTGAAAATCATCGGCTGCTTGTTTTTGTCGAATTGTGTAGATGAAAATGAAATTAACAAATTTCAGATATTGGGAATAGGGAAGAAGCTACTTCGGCTTATGCGACTTTTTTCATCCTATCGAGCAGAAAACTTGAAATCATCTATGAAGTTAGTCATACGATTGAACAATGCTTTACACACTAATTAAATAACGCGTGTCGCAATTCATCTTTGACATAAAGGATGGACCGTAAACGACATGTCATGTAAACTTAAGTGGAAAAGTACGTTTAATCGAGCTAAATTTTGCGTCTTTTAAGATTTAAATTCATGTCAAAATTGATGGTCGTATATGAGATTGAGCTCCGAAATTTACATGAGTTTTTTTTACAGACTTGGGTATTGTCCGAGGCTGCACCGTACAGTTTTTTATCCCAGTTTACTTAAATGTGTAAATTGTTCATAAATCTGATGATCATTCGACTGATAAATGTTCAAGAACCACTGTGACGAAGAAATTAGAACATTTAACCTAAATCGTGATTTCGAATACCTTCGTAATTTGGTGCGGTTCACAACACCGATTCGTGTAATTATCTAGTTCTACTTTATTCAGCAAGTTATTGAACTTTTTTCAGTTGAATGAACATCGAATTTATGAATAAAATATAAATTTCAGTAAACCGTGACGAAATTTATCGTCCAAAGTCCACAACTCACTACCCTAGTCTGATTTTTTGATAGTTTGCTACTTTAAAAACTATGATACGAAGTCTAAAATATCGTGTAGTTTTTCGTTTTTTTTTTCAAAATGACAAGAAACGAGATCATTTTATTCTGCCTTCATCCATATGATGAAGTAAATCCAATGGCGTTTTAATGCGTTTGTATGAAATTTTAACTCCTAGGGAGAATTTGTACGGGGCCATTATCAACTCAAGTAGAAGATATCAATTTTCATAGGGAGTATGGCATTTTTTTTTTCAACTGGGGAACAGTACCGTTTTACCACCCACCAATAATTTTCAAATTTTATCATGGAATATGGAAAAAAAAACATTATACATAATTGGTTTAGGGACTGAAGCTCGACAGGGACAAAAAGTTGAAAGAATTAAAGGTCTAAAGGACAAAAGTTCAAAAGGCAAAAATCTGATGTAAATATTTTGAAAATGATTTGTCATGCCTTGAAAAAACATTTTAAAAGTAAAATATCTTACAAATGGAAAAAGAACGTCTGATGAAAATTCGGTGAAAATGGTTCTCGAAATCGGCCCAATTGGAACTAAATGAACAACATATCGAACAAAGTTCAGAAATCTTTATATGTTTTAATCAAAAGTTAATTTCCAACTGCCCAAACGTTCGAAAGCAACTAAAGCAGATTTATTAGGAGCAATGTGTAGCGCCTAATTGTGATACATTTGTTAGGAAGGTACAGTCATCTGTCAACCGAAATGGATATTACACTAGTGCAAACGGATGGTTGGCAGTATCTGTGTGTGAGCTTTCACGAAAAGGCAGCGTTAATTTTGAGCTTGATTGATATGCTCAGTTGACATATTGAACATCCATCGTACCAATGTAAAACACAAGCTACAGATTTTCTATTACTCGGAAATCTAAAACTAAAACATATTCCTCGAAGGGAAGGGTTTTGCTCGATTTGTATGACACTCACCGCAACGTAAGCTGCTTATACGAAAGCATTCCATCGCGGTGCACAGAAAGCAAACCAATGCAAACTAAGTATGCCATGAAATAGGTAACACAGACGATGCGCGGTGTTTGGGAAGGTTTTGGTTTTGGTAACCAAATTGGAACGTGGCGTTTACTGTGACATTGACGAATTAAAGCAAAACTAAAATAAATCAACTAGGGGAAATGGCTCTTATGTTGGCCTATGGATCTAAGATTGGGCCCATCGCTAAAAATCAGCTATTTATCAATTTTATCTTGATGAACGCATCATTGGGACTGTACTAATGGATATGTTTGGTCGCTGTTGAAAATTTAGTCGATAGCTTAATTTATGTATGGGCCCAAATTAGGGACATTTAGACCGACATTACATCCATTTCCCCTTCTTGTCCGCCTT